TTCTAGGGTTTGAGATTGCTATAATTATGTGTTAAAGAGTGAATATATCCGGCAGCGAGATCGTTCGACAAAATACAGACCTTAGAGGATGGAAAATACGAGATCGTCGGGTTCTATACGGAACTCCACGTTCGGTATTGCGACCGAGATGACAAAGACAATTTTCATTCTTCTTCTACTACGCGAATCACACTTGTATGGAACGGTCACTGAGAATGAGGGATTCTTTGCTTCGAGTAATGGATTTGAGTTCCGAGTTCCGGAAAGGACGACGATACTCTAAGACAAGAAGCAGTGGACACCATTGTTATTGCTTCGAAGAGAGAAGATGATGCTACATCAGACTTTGGAGTTAAATATACCATATATTACGTGTATCTATATATATATATATATGATTGTACATGTATAATAAAGAAAGAAACATTACATTAAGATAACTTATAAATGTTTATATGTATATATGCATGCGTATAGGTATAACTTTATTTATTAATTTTTTTATTTACTTTTATAACTGATTATTTATTTATTTTTATAATAGAGATAGAAAAAATAAAGTGATTAGGGAGTTTTTGATAAATTAAATAATACGTTTATTAATATTTATTGTTATTTCTAATAAAAAAATTAAATGAATAATTTTTTTTGTAGAAGTAATAAAATTCAAATTTAAGTTATTCATTCAAAGCGAATTTAAAAATAAATGATAGTTTTTGTAGAAGTTTTAGCGTTCGTGTATTTATATAATAGTTAAAAAAATATTTTCTAGGTTATTTATTTGATAAAAATATAAAAACATATATGATTTAAAATAATATCATTATTATATTAATTATATTAATATTTATTATAATTTTTATCTCATTATATCTACATATATAAATAATTGAGTTCAAAGATATTTGGTCAAATCACCTCATCGTCATCTATGTTAATTAATTTTATATAACTTAATTAGAATATCTCTAATTATTAGACATATAAAATAGATTTTTTAAATTTATATTAAAAACATATACAAGTTAACAAAAATGATAAATTTCATATTTGTTTTACACAAAATTCTATTGTTGGAAAGATTGATATCATTGTTTATGATATAATGTTAGAGAAATGCTAGAAATGTCAATACCACATATTGCTAGCGTTAGTAAACAAAATATAAGATCTAACAAATTTGCCAAAGTACAAAAGAAAAAATATATAGCTAGATTTTAAAATCGATGTATTTTTTATGTTGCAATTATTAAAAGTAATTTTTACATATTTTATTTAAGTTGACATCGATAAAATTTTAAAAATTTTGATATTTTACTTAGTTTCTAACTAACGTATAATTTTAATTTAAAAACAACAATTATATCATAAAACCTTTTGGAAAAAATATTTGAAAATTTTTGGACTTGTAATTTAGTATAATATTAATTTTTGAACTTGTGTTCAAAAATGTAAGTTTAGGAATTATTTATTCCTCAACTTGTATTTTGTGAACATAATCATTCCTAAATTTGCTTAACAGTTCTATAATCGTCCATACACTGATTGACCAAAACAAAGTTTATGAATTTTTGTGTTCAAAAAATGCAAATTTAGGAATTACTGTGTTCAAAAATGTAAGTTTAGGAATTATTATGTTCAAAAATGCAAGTTCGAGAATAAATAGGCGTACCTACAAATTCAGGAATTAATATTATACCAAATTACAAGCTCAAAAATTTTCAGGTGTCTTTCCCAGAACTTTTCATATGAGATGATCTTGCGGTTGAAATTCTTTTACAAATGAATATGGTGAATGTCAGAAGAAATACTTTAGTCATTATTGATACAAATCCAAAGTTTATCGACAATAATTACTATAGAAAATAATATTAGTATTATATTAAGTTTACTATTATTTTTTATGAAACAAATATTTTTATCACTCAACAAATCATCATCTATAGACATTTATATAGATAAATAAATTCAACATCGTCAAAATATTCTATGCCAAACAGTTAAATTTAATAATTTTTAAAACCAATCATAACTATAGTATTTAAAAATATTATTTTCATTATTAACTAATAACTAAATTTTGTTACATAGATAGAAAAAACAAACACTAAAATCTTTTAGAATAAATTGATCGAGATCGTAACTTCAATGGAGGTAGAGATTCTTTATCTAGAAAAAATAACATATGTGGATTTAGAGATTATTTTTCTGAGTTTTGTCCAAAACTTAGACTTTTTTGCAATCTATTTTCAAGTGGAACAAGTCATGGACAAGAATTGAAAAAATTCACTAAACAATGTATCAAAGGCACAAGTGAAATATCTCATGGATGATATTTCTTTACCTATATACCAGTGAAGTATTATCGAATCTGTTAAATAATTTACGGTGTTAGAATGAAAATAGGTTTATGGAAAAAAAATTATAAAGTTTAAAAATTTATGTATTTATATAGATTTTTTTTGAAAGTTATCGATTGTTAAATTATTTTTCTACATAAATAGTATATATGGTATAAAATAATATTATTATTTTAAGTCAATTAATAGTTTTATAATATTTATCTTATTATTATATTAGATTAATTAACACTTCTATGATTTTCATGATTAATTTGTTTTATTACTCGACATATCATCATATATAAAAGAATTATTTTTCATTTATTTAATTTAAATATATCAGACTAATTGTTATTGAAAATTAGTGAATGCGACTGATAATCTCAATCTCTCCAAGATTAGAACCGCTTAACAAAAGAAATGAACACGATAACAGCATATCCACCTGGATGTTGTGCATGATCAAAATGATCAAACATAATCCATTACATTTCTTTTGTTATAAATAATTAGGGTATTGTGCCGAACTGGAAATTTTTCACCCTTTTGGCTCTAGAAGTTGTTTCCGGTGGATAATTGTTGTTGTGATTTATACATGATATTAATAAAAAATAAAGCCTTGAATGGTTGGAGTTTTTAGAATCCAAAAACTAAAAAAACTACCATTCAAGTTTCCACAAAACTTGCTAAAAACTTAGAAAGTCATTTTGGTGAAAAAATAATGAAAAACCAAAAGCTACGTTTTTTTAGTTTTCACATGTTGTAGAATCCAAAAACCAAAAACCAAAAACTAAAAACTAAAATCCAAAAACTAAAACTAAAAACCCAAAATAAAAGTTATCCCCATTCAAAACCTAAGTTTTATTTGAAATCTTTGCTATAATTCGTTTTCCAATTTTCAATCTTAGAAATAGAGGGTTTTTATTTTGACTTCGGTTTTAAAGCCTCCATTGTAGGGTCTGCCGCTGGAGCAGGAGGAGAAGGGGACTTGGTCGCGTCCGGCGATGGCAAGAGACTATAGGCGGATGATCAGCTGGAGGTGATGCACCATGTAGATGTGGTGGGCTTGAGACGGTGGTTGGGAAGAGGTTTGGAATCCGATTGAGCCAGAGGAGGAGACGACATAGTCGAAGTCGATGGACTCTTGAATCAGAGAAACAAAATCGGTGGGTGATGTTGACGGCGAAGAACTCAACGAATTATATGTTGATTCTGATATTTTTGACAAGTAAATTATTAATAATAATGATAGTAATGATAATGTTATTGTTATTATTTTGAAAAGCACGTAGAACTACTTCTACTACGACAAAAACACGTAAAACTAGTTATGTTTTCGGCATCATTATTCGTTAGCTTTATATTGGAAACTAATAATTACAACAAAAAAAAAAGATTAATAAAAGAGAGCAGAGTTTCATTTCTATTAGGAGCATTTCGGTTTTCAGTTCGATACTTTTCGATTTTATAAAATTATATATTAATCGATTATTATTTTATATTCGGTTCGGTTCAGTTTTTATTTAAAAAAATTGATGTTCTTATAAAAATTTCAGTTTTTTTAGTTTTTTAAATTTGGTTCGGTTTTAAAATTTTTGTTTTTCTAAAAAATGCAGTTTGAGAATTTTGAACAATTCAATTTGGAAAAAAAAATATTTTATATGATTCGTTTCGAAGACTCGTACCGAAACGCTTTACCTATTGAAGTAAAAATTAATGGACTTGGGATTTAAGCTAATGCAGTACAATTGTCTAAATATAATTGGTGATTTTTTTACTTATATTATAATTTAATTAATTACAAATTTAATTCGTCCCGGTTAAAATAAGTTATTACCTCGCTTGTGTTCCTTATAAACCCAAAAAAAAAAATATTTGAACTGCTGCCAATATGTGTCGGTGGTTTTTTACCAACTCCTTTTATATTGTTTTTTAAAAATTACATTTTTATTACTTCTTTGCCCTTTATATTTTCGTTGTTCAAACAAATAAAATTTGTTTAAGACAAACAAATTATCAAAATCTTTTTTTTTTTAAACTAAAAATCCTTTGTTAAACAAATGTTTCCCACCACGCAAGAGCGTCTAAACAAGTATACTGATTATTAAAACTGTTATATATAAATATATAGAAATATATCATTATTAAAATGGAAATTTTGATATCTATCCGTTTTAATAATTGATTCAAAAGTAAAAAGAAATCTAGAAAAAGTAAAACTCATTAATTACAACCTAATGAAGACAATACAGCCTTGGCATGGAAGTCATGAGCACACTCACAAAAGAGTTATTTAAAAAAACAATATTATTATTAACAAACACCAACAAATAAAATAAAAATAAACTAATTATAATATATATATATATAAGATTCCAAAAAACTTTGTCGCAGTCTCTCATCAGTGCACAGATCTGACCTGAGGAGATACGAACGGCAGAAGAAGATGACGGAACGAGTCTTCCCAGCTTCAAAACCGGCCGCTGCCGCCGTCAACGGCATTCCCACCGACGGCGACGCCACTGCACCGATGCTGAAGACAGTCAACGGAAACGGAACGGCTGCCAGCGTGGGTAACCAGAAAGCTCAAGTGTACAATCCGGCGAATCGTCCGGGG